GCACAAATAGGTCAACTAGACAAAAAAAAAACAACAAAGAAATACCAGAATTTGCCACCCAGGCATGGTGGCATATGCTTGTAATCCCAGTAATTGGGATGCTGAGGTAGGAGTTTGAGGCCAGCCTGGGCTACAAAGTGATTTCAAGGCCAGCCTGAATTGCATGGTAAAACTTTGTCTCAAAAACACAAAAAAAAAAAACCCTGCCTGGGAGTCATCCAATTATGAACTGAAACCTCTACAAACTGTGTGCTAAATAAACCTTTCCACCTTTAACTTTGGGTGTCAGGTATTTTGGCTCAGCAACAAGAGAAAAGTAATGAACACACATGGAAATTAAATAATACCCTCTTGAACAACCAATGGGTTACAGATGAAATTAAAGAAGAAATTAGACAGTTTCTGTAATTAAATGGTAATGCAAATATGACATACCAGAACTTATGGGATGCAATGTAAGCAGTCTTACAAGGGAAATCTATAGTGGTGAATTCCCACATCAGAAAAAAAGAGAAAGTTCAAATAAATAAACCAGTGTTGGATGAACCTCAAGCTTCCAGAAAAAGAAGACCAGTTAAACCCAAATCACGAATGAGGAAGGAAATTATAAAGATCAGTGCAAAAAAAAATGCAACTGGGACTAAGAAAGCAATACAAAGAATTAATGAATTAAAGAGTTTGTTATTTGAAAGAATAAATAAAAGAGGCAAAACTTTAGCCAACTTTGTCAAAAGAAAGAAGACTCAAATCAATGCAATTAAGAGTGAAAAGGATGAACTTACAATGGATCCTGCAGAAATTCATATCATCAATACCTACTTTGAGAACATGTACTCTAATAAGATGGAAAAATGAAGAAAAAATAGACAGATTCATAGATCCATATGAATTATCAAAGATGAATCAAGAAGATATAAAAATTCTAAGTAAACCAGTATCAATCAATGAAATTGAAGAAGTAATTTAAAACCTATCAACAAATAAAAACCCAGGTCCTGGTGGATTCACTGCTGAATTCTACAAGAAATTTAGAGAAGATCTAATGCCAATACTCCTTAAACTCTTTAATGAAATTGAAAGAGAAGCAACACTCCCAAAGTCATAGTGGAATCAAGTATTACCCTCACATCAAATCCAGAGAAAGTTCCAACCAAAAAAGAGAATTACAGGCTAAGGATGGGGATATAGCTCAGTGGCACAAGCGCCTGCCTGGCAAGCACAAAGTCCTGAGTTTGATCCCCAGTACCACAAAAAAACAAACAAACAAACAAACAACAACAACAACAAAAAAAAAACAGGCCAACATCCTTAATGAACATACATACAAAAATCTTCAATAAGATACTGGCAAATAGAGTGCAACAAATCATCAAAAAGATTATACACTATGACCAAGTGGGATTCATCCTAAGGATGCAAGGATAGTTCAACAAATGCAAATCAATAAACATAATACTCTATATTAACAGAACCAAAGACAAAAGCCACATGATCGCCTCAATAGGTGCAGAAAAAGCATCTGACAAAGTTCAACATCCATTCATGAATTTAAAAAAAAAAAAACCTATGCTAAATTGGAATAGAAGGTCTTCATCTCAATATGATAAAACCCACCTATGACAAACCAATATCCAACATTATACTAAATGGACAAAAACTGAAAGCTTTCACTCTAAAATCAGGAACAACACAAGGATGTCCAGCATCACCACTCTTATTCCATGTGTTTCTAGAAACATTAGCCAGAGCAATTAGACAAGAGAAAGAAATAAAAAGAAAATGAATATGAAAGGAAGAAGTTAAATTATCATTATTTGCTGATGACACAATGCTTTACATAGAAAACCCCAAAAAGTCCACCAAAGAACTCCCAGAATTAATAACCAAATCTGGCAATTTATCAGGATACAAAGACAACACTCAAAAATCAATAGCATTCCTGTATACAAATAACAAACTCACTGACAGAGAAATCAAGGAAATAACACCTTTCACAATAACATCAAGAAAACTTAAATACTTAGGAACCAATCTAACAAAAGGAAGTAAAATATGTATACAGTGGAAACTACAGTACTCTGAAAAGTTGATCAAGGAGATCAACTTTCCATGTCAGAAAATGGAAAGATGTCCCGTTCTTAAATAGGCAGAGCCAATATTGTGAAAATAGTCATACTTCATACCTCACAGAAATAGAGAAAACAAACCTAAAATTCATACACAACCAGAAGAAACATAGAATAACAAAAGAAATTTTGGGCAACAAGGTCAAGGCAAGTAGCACTACAATTCCTGATTTGAAGGTATATATACAAAGCTACCATGATAAAAACAGCGTGGTACTGGCAAAAAAACAGAAAGCAGACATGGGGATCAATGAAACAGCATATAAGGTGCAGAGAGAACCCCAAGCACATTCAGCTACCTTACCTTAAAGGGGCAAAACACTAGAAGAAAGAGTCTCTTTAATAAATCGTGCTGGACAAACTGGCTTTCAAAATGCCAAAAATTGAACCAAGACCTATATGTCTCACCATGTACTAACCTAAAATCAAAATGGATCAAGGATCAAAATACAAAAACAGCATTTTTATTGTTTTATTTCAATTTGCTGGTAAAGGTAATTTGCTGTATTCAAGGTAAAGCTCCTGAATACATTAGACATAGGCAAAGACTTTATGAACAAAACCTCAATTGCATGGGAAATATTAGGAAGAATCAACAACCAGGATCACATCAAATTAAAAAGCTTCTTCCCAACAAAGAAATGACAAACAAAGTGAAAAGATAACACGGACTGGAAAAAATTTTACCAGCTACTCCTCCTCAGACAAATGACTAACATGCAGAATATACGCAGAACTAAAAAAATTAGACCCCCCCCAAAATTTAAAGACTCAATCCAAAAATGGATATCTGAAATGAATAGACATTTCTCAGATGAAAAAATACAAACAGAAAATAAATGTATGAAAAAATATTCAACATCATTGGTCATTTGATAAATGCAAATTAAAACAACACTGTGATTCCATCTGGCACCAGGAAGAATGACTATCATAAAGAAATCAGCCAATAATAAATGCTGGCAGGGCTATGGGGGAAAAGGAACATTTCTTCACTGTTGGTGGGGTTGTAAATTGGTATAATCACTATGGAAATCAGTATGGAGTTTCCTCAAAAACTAGTAGTAGAGATTCCACTTGACCCAGCTGTTCCCCTACTGAGTATCTTTCCAAAAGAGTTAAAAGCATCCTACCACAGTGATATATGCATATCCATGTTTACTGCAGCACAATTTATAATAGGTAAATCTTGGAAACAGTCTATATGCCCATCAAAAGATGAATGGATAAAGAAAATGTGGTATTTTTATATATAGTGGAATACTACTCTGCCATAAAGAAAGATAAATTTGATTTATTTGTAGGAAAATGGATACACTTTGAGACTATAATCCTAAGTGGAAAAAAATAAGACACACAAGTTTAAATATTGCATCAATTCTCTTGTGTGAGAAACCTACAGGGTAAAGAAGGAGCATAAAAGAGGATAGATATTGGAAAGTAGGAAGAACATGTTCAAATGGGAAAAGGAACAAGGGAAGAGGTTGGGGTAAGAGAAGGGAAAAAAGAGAATGGATGGAGAAAATGGAAACCAAATTTTGGAACTAGGGAGGAGAAAGGCTTGGGGGGAGGGGAATGAGGAAAAATGAATTAAGATCTATTACGTACAAGTATAAATTTCCTATGATGCATATGGTCAATATGTATGACAAATACGTACTAATAAAAAAATGAAGTTAAAAATAAAAAACAAGCCCAAAAGGAGAAAAAATAGAGTCCCTGAATCAAGAGAAACCAATCTATGGGCCTGGCTAAGAGCCAGTTGTGGAGGACCGCTGGGATGGCTCCCCCTGAAAGAAGACCATTTGTGTCCTTATCGGCTGACCCTCGCCCTACTTCCATGTGTTGTTACGTACAGCCTTGGCTGGGAAGACACTCTACCCGCTCAATCGGCTGTAAGCAGTGCCATGAGTCTAGCTGAGGTGCTGATGTGTAGCCATTGAAGCAATGCGACAGGTCAGAGAAGCCCCGCGTATAGCTGCCTATTACTAAGTGTGAACTAGACCGAACTAACCACGTGTGAACTAACCACGTGTTGACTGAGATTGAGCCTCGAGAAAGAAGCCATGATGTCCCAGAGCAGAGAGGTCAGACACCAAAGCTGAAGCAATTGACCAAAAACAAACTATTTCCTCAAACTTGTTATGCAGATTCCTCCAAACTTAGAGGCTACCCGCTACCGGAATCCGGTACTCTTTCTGCATACTTCCCTGGGCATACTGCAGAGGTGCTGTTGTGCCTCCTACCTGGCCCAGCTCCCAGCACTCATGTACTTCTGCCATTCTCACAGTGACTGAACCCGAGCCACTCCTCTCTTCACAAATTAATAAAACCATGGTTCAGCCCTGGGTCATGGCCTTTGTTCTAGTTAGCCATTGTTCCGACTGGACTTAGGATCCCCCGGGCTCCCCCCAACTGCAGATATGGCTTTGTCTCTTTATTCTTGCCGTGGGTTGCACTAGAAGTGGTAGATTGAATTTACTTACTTGAATTCCAATAACTTTTCCCAGGGATTACAAATATAAACTCCTCCAGACCACAATGAGGTCTGGATCAGTCCCCCATACCAGTCATATTCTGCCTATGATGGAGTCATTTGCAGAAGTGACCCCAATTCTTCAAGCCTCCCAGCCATTTCCTTTGTAGCTCCTCCCATCAAAATGTGGCAACTATTTTGCCTTCCCTTGAGTCTGGTCTAGCCTTGTAACCTGTTTTGGACAACAGAAGGCAGCTAAGGTGTTCTAATTCCCAGATTAGACCTAAGAAGACTTGAATGCTTCCCCACTTCCCCTCCTTTTTTCTTATTTTCTTCTCTGCTTTTCCATGAGGATAGGACTGGGCTGACCTCTTAGGTAACAAGATATACAGAGTAGCTCAGATAAAAGGGAAATTTATTGTTAATTCATAAAAGGAATTCTCATGAACAGAAAGCACAGGGTAAAGTTTGTCCTTGTGGGAACTAGAAGGCAGGCTGGCACCCAGTCTTCTTCTCAAGTCAGCCCACTTGTCCCAGGTGAGATCCAGTCATAGAAAAGAGTTTATCCAAGATTCGCAAAGCCACCCAGTCCACCCAAAGCTTTACTACCAATATACAAGGGAGTTCTGTCCAGCTCAGTTCAGCTTAGCTGAACTAACAACCTGTAGACGAGTATTCAAAAACATGTTTATCATGTATAACACACAGGGTTAGTGATTGTTATGCAGCATTATTATGGCAATGTATAGCTGATACACTCATCACAAAAATCAGAATCTCAGAAGCACCAACCTTGAAAGACAATATTAAACTCGTACAGTTCTGTGGAGATGGGAAGGCAGTGGTGCCAAAGCTAAAATTGTGGAAAGGCAGAAACCACAAGGAGGCAGAGAGGCTGGCCCAAAAGAATGCCAGACAGCCCCACAAAGGGAGCAATGAGAAGACCGGGTGCCAGCCTCCTTTCTAGTTCCCACAAGGACAAACTTCACCCTGTGCTTTCTGTTCATGAGAATTGCTTTTATGAATTGCCAATAAATTTCCCTTTTATCTGAGCTTTATAAATGGGTGTTTGTTCCTTATGGCCATTCTTTACTCCGGTGAAGTACATGGATCTTAACGTTCATAATCCCATTGAAAAAATGTAATATATATCTTTGTAATCAAAGTCACTGGGTCCTCTGAACAGGCACGTTCTCTTTTCACCTTGGCTCAACATGGTTCCGACATCTGCGAATCAGATCACCCCAAGGTCTGCACAGCAAAGGCAGCCGCTTACACTTCAACCCAGAAGCAGAACATGTAAGAAATTTGAGATGCTGTCCCAAAAGTATGTCCATTTCCACAAAACGGCTCTGGACCCATCCAAACTTGCAGTGGCAGAGGGGGGCAGCGTAGCTGAACAACGAAATAGATACAGCTTCCAGTTTAATGCATACATCCCATATGAATCTGGATTTCTGTAACTCCTATGACAAAAAGCACATGATACAGTTTCTTTTTCCTGCAGTCTTAAGGACAGAGTTACTCAGATGTCTTTCACATTACTAAAAAAAAAAAAAAAAAAAAAGTATAGTTTTGAAGAACCACTGGGGAAAGAAGGATTCAAAAGTTCAGGTTTCCAAGGTTCTAAAATCCCAACATTCTTGGATTTGAAGAATTCTGAAAGTTTCCCCAGCTGCACGAAACAAAACGGCCTCTTCATACACAGCTTCAAACTTCTTTCAAACATCCCCCAACATGGCCGTAGAAAAGACACAAAGAGCACAGAGTTCATTGTTTCCATGGGGTCTGCCACTCTTCCTTCTTATCAGGAGCCTCACCTGCAGAATACACAGCACAGACCTTTCTGATGGTTGAGAGATGGCAGAAGAGTCTGGTGACTTCATTTTCAAGGGAAGGGTTAAGACTGTTTTCCCCTTTCCCTGCAGGTGCCTCCTTGGGGCCAAATGAACTCAGCTTTTCCATGTTTAGACCAAAGCCCTCAGATCCTCCCTGGCAGGTGCTCCTGTATATAAACAAATTAGATTTTTTTTAAGTTTTGTGTTTGAGGGGGAACTGTTTTGTTCTTTGCCACAAGTCTCAGGCCAGCAATTCAGGTTGTGTGCTGGAAGTCCCAGGATGGCCAACACCACTCTTTGAGACACTGCAAGATAGAGCAGATAAAAAGGAGAATAATAAAGCATGAAATTCAGAGTCAGAAAATCCTGGGTTCGAGTTCTCATGCTGCCATTTAGCAGCTGAGAATGTGGGCAACTTTCGGCCTCTTACTACAGCTTCCTGAGCTTCAGGCTTTCATCTGGAAAACAGGTACAGTCTAATAATACTTCTCCTCACCGGGATGCTGGGTGATCCAACAAGATGCCACATGTCAAGTATCTGGCTCACACTCAATGTTTAATAAACAGTTGTGTATTAGTCAGGGTTCTTGATTGCAAACTGTGTGGTAATCAAATGGAATTTATTGGAAGGCTATCAGGGGCTCATGGAATTGGCAGAGATCATTGATGAAGTCTGGGAAATGGCCAGAAACCAAGGGATTGCTGGAGGGTTAAGCAACAGGGGCCTTTGCAAGGTCACAGGAATGGGTGGCTTCCATGCCACTGCTGCCACTTTGCTGGGAAAGCCTCCAGTGTTCCTCCCAGGCCCAAATCACTCACTGAACATTCCGGGACCGGGAGGGAACACCTGGTATCCTTAGCCTGGACTTTTCACCCCCCTCTGGGGGCAGCTGGAGCAGAGATGGAAACTGGCTGCTTCCATGCAAGAGGCAGATGCCCCACCAACTCTCCCGTCGACGGCAAAGGGTTCACACAGGAAAATGAAAGTGCTGTTAGGAGGGCAGGCTGTGAGGAGTCAGCCCGGCTCACAGATGCTCTCTGCAGATGTTGCTCTTTAAATCCAGGAGAGAATACAAGTGCGCCTTGGTTAGAGTGGGGCAGGGTTGTAGGGCTCAAGGGGAAGGGTGGGCTTGGGTTTCTAGCAAACTGCATCTGCTGGAGTGACAATTACCAAAGGTGAGAGAAGCTGAGTGGAGTAGTGCCCAGGCTCCACTGACCCTGGTCATGTGGTCAAGAATGAGTATCTGCACCTCTCCGAGCTTCTGTTCTAACCAAATGATACACGGAGAAAACCCTTGGGACTAGAAGAGGTGCACAGGGCAAACACGAGGTGGGATTAGCCTTGGTGAATAAAGTGTCTTAGGCAGAGGGAGAGGCTTCTCCTGGAGCCTGGGGTCCCTAAAGCCAAGGAGCAAAGAATCCGACTGAGACCATCACGCCTGGGAAAATGCGTGGGTTTCTCAGAGAGGCACAGCCACCCGCTAAGCGAGCAGGATCCAGCTCCTCTCGAGCTTCCAGCAATAACACGCTGTTACTAACCGCTCCGAGTCTGGGGTATGCATTCCCGTCCTAACATAAAGATGACTCCACACCTAAAATTCTCCACCAAATAACACTCAGTTCTGTCCTCGGAGACTTTCCAGGGACATTGAGCAACCCACCTATTCCGCAGCCCAGCACCTCCCATCTCACCCACTCGTGACTCCACTGAAATGTCAGAGAAACCCCGGCCCAGCTTCATGTAACCCGAGAGCTGCCAAGGGCAGCCACCCTACGGAAAGAGAATCTGGTTCAGGGAAAACATTCGAGACAGAGCAGACATACACATCTCTCTTTTCCTTTCTTCTGGAAGATGATTTTCCACAGCGAGCCACAAGATCCATTTTCTAAATGAGAAAATAATGGCTTGTATGTAGCAGTTGGGAGCCAAAGTATCTATCATTTATTAACTCTGCAGCATTTATTAGGCACCTATTCTATGGGGAGCGCTACGTTACATGCCTTTAAGGGATGGTCAGAGAAGGCCAAACAAACATAGGATTTGCTCTGCCGTTCATTTTCTCCTGGTTTCTGAGTTTTCCAGCCTCCTTGTTTCCTTCCAATAGAATACAGAGCTGACTTTGTCACATCCTTGCTTGAAACCCTTTATTGACTTTCCATTACCTTCAGGAGCCTCTTAGCACCATGTGCAAAGTCTTGCAAAACCTGGCTCCTGCCCACCTCCCCAGCCTTCCTTCTTTCTTTGTCCTTCATGTTTTCTACTTTCCAGGTCATTCACGCATTCACTTCCCATTCATTCATTTATTCATTCCCTGAATACTTCTTGGACTACAGCTCCAAAGTAGCAGCTGGGCATACAGCAAGAAGTGACAAAAGAAATCTCTTCTCTTAAGAAGCTTACCTTCTAAGGGACTATAAATAACAGTGAGAGAAAGGAAGAAATTGGAGCATTTCAGACTGTGAAAAATGCCACTAGAAAAATGCCCCGGGATGCTGTGACAGAAAATGACTGGGCATCTTTAACTGGGTGGTCAGGGAAGAAGTGATACATGACTTAAAGACCAGCCGTTCCAAAGTACTTGCTATTCTGAAATTGTTCATTGCTTAGTCTGATGTCTGTATGTAGCCTCCGAAATGTCCGCTCCACTGTATCCCCCAAATTTTCACCTGCCTACAAGGCTAGCTCCCCTTCACCTCCACAATGAAATCATTTGCAGTCTCCCAAGGCCTGGCTCAGGTACCCCCTCTTAATGCTCCCCAGATGCACAGCTCCTTTTTCTAGATCACACCCCTCCCCACACCTACTCCACTCCCTCGCCACCCACCATCAAAAGAATGGGACCCCAAAGTCGCCCTGCTTCATAGGAAGAGCCAGGGAAGAAGCAAAAAGCTTCAGGGGGATTGGGGGGACCCAGTTGGGGTCTGAGCTTGGTGAGCATCAACAATTTTCCAGCATTTTTTTGTTTGATTAAATCCCAAAGGACATTTTTTTCCTCCAACTCTTTCTTTCCTTTAACTTTTAAGCCATATGGTTCTGATTCATTTATACTTAACTAATTACAACATTGGTTTTGTAAGAGCTATTTGATGTCCATGAGTCTTCAGAGCGCTTTCATACAATTTTCTAACCCTTTTTACTGTGAAACCCGAAGTGGTCTTTTGCCAGCAGTAAACAGCATCCAGTGCCAGAAGGTTACGGTTTGGTCTTGGTTCGGTCTTGGTTTGGTCACCAGGACCAGGCCCTGTGGTTACAAGGCCTCCAAATTTGGCAAAATGTGTTTTTTTGACTCCCAATGAAATTCTAAAAAGGTTCTCAGGAAAATAAAGAGACAAAAATGCATAAATAAGACAAGTAGTGCTTCAAAAGCAAAGCCCTTCCCCACGGGGGAGCCGTCCTGGGTCATGGCTTTCTCCAGCCTTCCCCCAGGAGTCGCGGCTAACAGTCTGATTACTCAATAAAGTCCTGAGGATTTTTCTCTTCGGGATCCTACCCTGTTAGGATCTTAGAAAGTGGCATTTGTGTAAACAGGTACCATTTTATGAGGCTGCCAGTGTTCTGGCCAACTTGGCAGCAAAGTGGCTCTATTTTTTGTAAAATGAGGTGAGAGGAGCTAAAGCCAGCTGAGGGTTACAGTGTGCCAGGCCTTCCACAAGGCAAGGATATGCAAAGATGAACAAATGTGGCCCTGGTTTTGAGGGGCTCCCAGTTTAGTGTTATAATAATATGCAATGGCAATGCCATTTATTGCCAGCTTACAATGTACCAAACTCTTAACTTAGTCCTGCTAGAACATTATCTCAGTTAAGTTTTTGTGATGACTGCAGAGGTTGGTACTCTTAACATCTCCCACTAGCATGTGAGGAAAGTGAATCTCCAAAGACTTAAGTAATGTGATCAGTAAGGCTCTGAAGTGGTTTAAGTGTGTCCCCCTACAATTCATTACTGGAAGCTTGGTTCCCAGTGTGATGATACTGAGGTGACGGAACCTTTAACAGGTAGCACCCAATGGCAGGTCATTGTGTCATGGGCTTTGGCTCAGAAGAGATTAATGTTGGTCTCATGTGGCGAGTTATTTCTCACAAGAGCAAGTTATCATAACATGAGGTCATCTCATGCTCTTGGTCTTTTCTGCAGGTGGTTGGTAACTTTCTGCTTTCCTGACATGTTGTGACAGAGCTGATGAAGCCCTTGCCAGGCTGTTTGGACTCTAGCTGCAAGAATCATAAGAAAAATAAACCTCTTTTCTTTACAAAGTACCCAGCCTCAGGCATTTTGTTATAGCAACACAAAATGAACTAAATATAAACCTCAGAGACCAGAGTCCATGGAACATGAAAAGAAGCTTATAAAAAGGCTCATGGGTTTGTAAAAGATTTATGTCAGTAAAGAACAACGTAAAGTTCCAACAACAAGGCCTAGGTAGGAGAAGGTGTAACTGGCAGAACCATGAACTAGTATTATTGAACACCTATGTGAGGCACCAAAAATTCCACCATTCGCACCCTCATTTTGCTAGTGAGAAAACTGGGGGCAAAGTTGATGAAGTTGCTTTTCCAAGGCCTAAAGCCAGAACAGAAGAAATCTAAGGTTTGAGCCCCATTATGTCTGGCTCCAACATTCTCTCCAGTAGAACTTAAAAGGTAAGATCTTTCTTCCCCATGGAGTTAATGATAAAACCCCAGTCTCTCTCATTCTGCTAAAAGCTATGAAAAGGAGATAGTTCAGGTCCACTGAACTATCGAGTCAAGATAAACTGTCGACTCAAGATAAGCCCTGTATAAGATGAGTTATATAAATGCTAAACTGCCCTGAGGAGGGATGTTTAGCTCCCACCACACACTCCCACCATGATGTGTTGCCTCATTACAGGATGTTTAAACTGCCCTGAAGGAAATCTGCCCTGAGAGAAGGGATGAAATAATGGAAAGGGGGCTTAGAGTGATGAACAGTGGAAAAAGATATATGAAATGCAATGGCCCCAAACATTGTATGTGCAAAGCTCCCAGCAAAAGAATGAGGGGAGAGCCTCATTCTTTTGATGACAGCCAAATGCAGGTGTAAGCTGAGAGAAGAGAAAACTGAAACCAGGAGGCCAAAATGTACCCAGGTCAGTCAAGGGAGAAGGGAGTTTGTGGTTAGGTGACAAGTGGAAGTTTCTTTTCTAAA